GAAAAGCGAGCTGAGCCTGCCCCTCCTGCCCCTGTGCACCTTGCCGATCCACCCCAGCTAATACGCCAGATCCCCAGCACCACAAGCCTGGCAGTGTGCAAGTATCCCAGATGGGCCACGCCACCCCACAGTGAATCCTGCCCCTAAGAGAGGGAAAGAGAAGGAACACACCAGTCTGACTGTGGACCCAGCGGTGGGCTGGGGGCAGACATCAGTTCTGACTGCAGCCCTGTTCACCAACGCAAGTTATTCAAGACAACACAGAGGAAGTTCCCCGCACTTCTACACCACTCCAGGACTATCCAAAATGACGAAAAAGAAGAATTCCCCTCAAAAAAATGTCCAGGAAATAACGACAGCTAACTAACTGATCAAAAACGATTTAAACAATATAACAAAGTGAATTTAGAATAATACTCATAAAACTAATTGCTGGGCTTGAAAACAGTATAAAGGACAGCAGAGAATCTATTGCTACAGAGATCAAGGGACTAAGGAACAGCCAGGAGGAGCTAAAAAATGCTATTAATGATCTTCAAAATAAAATGGAGATGACCACGGCTTGGATTGAAGAGTCACAGGAGAGAATAGGTGAACTAGAAGATAAAATTATGGAAAAAGAAGAAGCTGAGAAAAAGAGAGATAAAAAATCTGGGAGTATGAGGGGAAAATTAGAGAACTAAGTGACGCACTAAAGAGAAATAATCTACGCATAATTGCTATTCCAGAGGAGGAAGAGAGAGGGAAAGAGGCTGGAAGTGTACTTGAAGAAATAATAGCTGAGAACTTCCTGGATCTGGGGAAGGAAAAAGGCATTGAAATCCAAGAGGCACAGAGAACTCCTTTCAGATGTAACTGAATCAATCTTCTGTACAACATATCATAGTGAAATTGACAAAATACAAGGATAAAGAGAAAATTCTGAAAGCAGCTAGGGATAAACGTGCTCTAACATATAAAGGGAGACCAATAAGACTCTAGACGGATCTCTCTACTGAAACTTGGCAGGCCAGAAAGGAACGGCAGGAGACCTTCAATGTGATGAACAGAAAAAATATGCAGCCGAAAATCATTTATGCAGCAAGTCTGTCATTTAGAATAGAAGGAGAGACAAAGGTCTTCCCAAACAAACAAAAACTGAAGGAATTTGTCAGCACTAAACCAGCCCTACAAGAGACCCTAAGGGGGATCTTGTGAGACAAAGTGACAGAGACATTGCTACAAGCACAAAACCTACAGACATCACAAGGACTCTAAACCCATATCTTTCTATAATAACACTGAATGTAAATGGACTAAATGCGTCAACCAAAAGACATAAGGTATCAGAATGGACAAGAAAACAAGACCCATTTATTTGCTGTCCACAAGAGACTCATTTTAGACCTGAGGACACCTTCAGATTGAGAGTGAGGGGATGGAGAACTATTTGTCATGCCACTGGAAGTGAAAAGAAAGCTGGAGTAGCCACCGTTATATCAGACAAACTAGACTTTAAATTAAAGGCTGGAACAAGAGATGAAGAAGGGCATTATATAATAATCATAGGGTCTATCCATCAGGAAGAGCTAACAATTATAAATGTCTATGCACTGAATACAGAATCCCCCAAATATATAAAACAATTACTGACAAACATAAGTGACCTTATTGATAAGAATGTGGTAATTGCAGGGGACTTTAACAC